GCGCTTACACTGGAGCTAGGAGAAGCAGGTGTTGGTGTGTTGGTGTTGGTGATACCTGTCACAGATGTCACTCCTAATGTTGTAGGATTTGAGTCAGATATGGTGGTGTCACCAGAGGTTGGAGCGCTGACACTGGACCCAGGAGAGGCAGGTGTTGGTTTGTTGGTGACGGTGATACCTGTCACAGACGTGACTCCTAATGTTGTAGTAATTGACTCAGATACAGTGGTGTCCCCAGAGGTTGGAGCGCTTACACTGGAGCCAGGAGCAGCAGGTGTTGGTGTGTTGGTGTTGGTGATACTTGTCACAGACGTGACTCCTAATGTTGTAGGAATTGATTCAGATACGGTGGTGTCCCCAGAGGTTGTAGCACTTACACTGGAGCCAGGAGAAGCAGGTGTTGGTGTGTTGGTGTTGGTGATACCTGTCACAGACGTGATTCCTGATGTTGTAGGATTTGAGTCAGATACGGTGGTGTCACCAGAAATTGTAGCGCTTACACTGGAGCCAGGAGAAGCAGGTGTTGGTGTGTTGGTGTTGGTGATACCTGTCACAGACGTGACTCCTGATGTTGTAGGATTTGAGTCAGATACGGTGGTGTCCCCAGAGGTTGTAGAGCTGACACTGGAGCCAGGAGAAGCAGGTGTTGGTGTGTTGGTGTTGGTGATACTTGTCATAGAATTGACTCCTGATGTTGTAGGATTTGACTCATATACGGTGGTGGCCCCAGAGGTTGTAATAATTGCAGTGGTCTCTGTTGTCATAGCTGCGGTTGTGTTGGTGTCTGCCACAGTTGTTGCAGGAGTACCTCCATCTATAGCAGTTGACTGTGATGTGATGGTGTTCCCAGTAGTTGTAGCAGATGTTCTGGACACATAAGTCGAAGTTGTGATGGTGTTAGTGACACTTGTCCCAGATTCGCTCTCTATTGTAGGTGTTGACACCGATAAGTTGGTGTCACCAGTACTTGAAACAGTTGAGTGTGCATCAGCAGAGGATATCTGAGGTGGGCTGATGTCAATAACAGCTGTTGCAGAAGTTTCTCCTTCTGTCAAAGTTGATTGTGATGTGATGGTTACACCCACAATGGTAGCAGGTCTGGTTGTCTCCAGTGGGGTGATTGTGTTGGGGGTACTTGTTGATGATACGTCTCTTGCTGTAGGAGTATAAACATAAGAATGTAAACTTGCTGGAGTAGTGTTATTTATGTTCTTGCAAAGGTTTTAAACTATAAATTGATATATCAGATTTTTAGAGTTTTTAAATACTTGGGCAATTTTATTACTCAGATAACTGAAGTTCTTAAATAAGAAATGTTGTTGTTGTTGTTGTTAAGTGCCATCGAGTCGGGTCCGACCCATAGCGACCCTGTACAGGGTTTCCGAGGGTGTAAATAGAATATGCTAATTTTTAGATTTATTTTATTTTTTGTTGTTGAGTTTACAGAGCAGAACATACATCAATTCAGCCAATTCTACTTGTATAGTTCAGTGACATTAACACAACCATTTTCACCCTCTTTTCCCGAATTGGGTTTCCCCAATTAACATAAACTCATTATCCCCTAAGTTTCCTGTCTAATCTTTCCAGTTGCTGTTGCCAGTTTGATTCCATATACTAGTTCTTTGATGATAAGATATATTAATTTTATAAATGCAGTTTAAACTATTTAAATGAATGTAATTAGCAAAGTATATAAAACAGACTCAACACTGGTCAAGGCCCACATAAAAGTGTTTGTTGGACTTCTAGCCAAGATGTTCCAGAAAGTAACAGGAATTGGATTTGCCCTTTTTCCAGAAATAACAAAAACAAAGAGGATAAAGAGGAACAGGAGAAACAGAAGGAAAAGATAACCATACAAAAAGTATAAAATAATGTTCAGCACACTCTACAAGCACTGAATGGCGATCGTGATAGTTAGCCTTTCATGTCAATTTGGCGGGGCCATGAGTTATGCGGCAGTACTGACTTCCATGATGAGTTCTAATATGATGCAATCCCTCCCACAGTGTGATCTGAATGTGATCACCATTTATCTGATGCAATTACCCCATGTAGTGCACATCTTCACTTTTATGACATCTAAGGAGTCCTGGTGTGGTGCTGTAAGATAAGCACTGGACTGCTAACCACAAGGTTGGTGATTCAAACCCACCAGATGCCCCTCAGAAACTCTATACGAGGTCGTTATGAGTTGGAACCAACTCAACAACACAACAACAAAAACAAAGATGTTAATGAGGCCAGATGAAATCTATAGGATCAAGTTGTATCTTGAATCAATCTCTTTTGAGCTATGAAAGGAGAGAAAAAGATACAAAAGCAGAGAAACAGCACCTATTCATCTCAAGGAGCCAGGACTGGAGGTATGTCCTTTGGGCCTAAGCTCTTCCTGTACTACAAAGTTTCTAGATTCAGAGGAAGACTGATGGTATGACTCACAAAGAGCTCCAAGGAATGCTGAAAGGAGACAGGGCCCTTTTCCCAGAGCCAGGGTTTTGGATTTGGACTTGTAGGCTCCCAAACTGTGAGACAATATAGTTCTGTTTGTTAAAGCCACCCCCATGTTCTAACAGCACCAGAGAACGAATACAGTAGTGATTCCAGAGACACGGGAAGCAAACGAGGTAAGCCCCACAACTGTTCACACTTACTAATTTTTAAATGTTTCCAGAAAGAAATACAGCAAGGGCAAGCCCAGGTGACTCCCAGTATTGAAGAGAAGCAGCTGAGAAACCAGGGAGACTTAGGAAGCTGGAGCTGATGGAAAAGGGTTACCAGACAGGACAGAGCAATCGCCCAAGATCGGCAGAGGGTCCTCCTCGAATATTAAGTATAGTACTGATTGGTGTATGAGCCTGAGGAAACTACCAGATACCAGGCAAAGACCCTCTAGAAAGGCAGAGGGAAAACAGGACCTCATACTTATTCCTAGATAGGAACAGTGTCTGTTCCCAAATGTTAAGTGTTGTCGAGTCAGTTCCTGCTCATAGTGACCTTGTATAGAGTTTTTGAGCTGATGGATTTGAACCACAAACTTTATGGTTAGCAGTCCAGTGCTTATCTTACAACACCACACCATTTCCCACTATTTGTGTTGAAAAAGCTCATAATTCAAAGAGCAATGAGCATTTCAATCATGAGGAATAATCTACCCCACATTACGAATTCCTCTAGATCCACCTAAGAAATCAGAAAAACAAGCGCTGAAAGGATCAGACTTGAAAACGTGTTTTCAAGTAACTAAACTGCATCCCAGGAACAAGACTCAAGAAGATTTATAGGAATGCAAAAATGCCCAGCACCCAACAAGGTAAAATTCACAATGTCTGGTATCCAGTCAAAACTTACCACAAATGTGACATCATCATTGTCTCCTTATACCCAGGAGAACGCTGGGAAAATTCCTGGGCGCTACCCAGGCCAGGTGGCAGACAACTCTCTTCCCTTCCTACCTCCTACCTGCAACTCCCCCATAGTCTTCTGTGGAGGCAGAATCTTCTCCCTTGGCAGATGGGGCTGGTAGTTTCACCCTGCACCCACCCCGAGAGTGCGGAGAGGGTGCCTAAGAGGGAGTTGAGGGAGGGAGGGATCTGGTCCCGAAAATCAGGAGTCATGTCACCATGTGACAAGGTTTAGTCCCATGAACTCCATGGGGTGGAGTATGTCCCTTAGACTGGGCAGAAGGACACAGTGGTGCAGACACAAAGTGAGTAATGGGCCTAGGGTAGGAAGGACAGAGTGACCCGTGGTCAGAATAGATGACTGAGCTCCAGGCCTTAGTTATATTGTGCTGGGTGTGGGACCGAGAGGACACTTGCCTGGTCAGAGTTGGGCTGGGCTGAGAGGACACTGTGTCTCTAATGTGTAATATGATCAGGGTTTGCTGGAAGGAGGGTGTGTCTGTTGGGAAGAGCCAACACCAAGGCCATCTGTTTTTTCTCCAGGTCTACACCCATCTGATATCCACAGACCCATATCCCAGAAGAGGAGTGGGGCTCTGGGTCCCCATAGAGAGGACATAGAAGGGTCAGATACACTGCAAGTTTAACCATGACCCTAGAGACCAGTCAAGGCCAGGTCCAGAAACAGGGAAAAGGTAACCAGAGAATCCTAAAGCAAGAGTGGAGAGTCAGAAACATTCCATTTTACAGATGGGGTAGTGAAGGCTAGAGATAACATGAGCCCCACCAGTCAGAATGTAGGGAGAAGGGAAGAGGGGAAGAAGAAAGAGAAAGGTAGAAAAAGGGAGAGATGGAAGAGGACAGAAGGGTAAAGAAAGAGGGGAGGGAAAAAGCAAGAGGACAGAGTGGGGTGGGAGATGAGAGGGCCTAGGAAGGTCCTTCCCATCACAGGGCCTACATGCCTCATTTGAAATACATTACCAAGACTTGGAAAGACAGAAAACGTGCCCTACAAGGTGTGGTATTGTTATTACTAACAGCCTCTCAATGTGAAGTTGGGAGTCTATGCAAGTCCCAGCCACAGCTCTCAACCTGGGTCACAGTCACCCCTGTATCCATTCGTTCTCCATCACCACCCAATCTACCCTCTGGTTGGCTTCTTACAGCCAGTGGGTTAGAGGCAAGGGGGCCTCAAATCAAAGGTTGTGCCCAGGTGTAGTTTCTCCACCCTTGCGTTCCGTTCTTCCCCCACATTTCCTCCTTAGAGAAGAGTCAGGGGGAGGGAAAAGTATGGGGTCAGGGTGCCAGGAGATCCCACAGCTCCTAGTAGCAGGATCTCAGGGCAGGACAAAGTCAAGATTGTGTAGGCTTGGATAACATCTGCAGGGAAAGAGACCCCCGGTCCTGCCCCGATGACCTCAAGGAGGACATCTCAAGGAGGTGGAAACCCTGGTTCACTTCTGCCTCAGCTCCCCTCCCTCTATCTCTGGGGCTGGGAGCAGCTGAAAGTTCTAATCAGGAACCCGCTGCCATCACCTGTTGACCTGAACCTAGTTCTCCACAGCCATGGAGTCCAAGCAGCAAATTAAGGAATCCAAGCCCTGGGTTCGAGAGGGATTGAGTTGTCTAAAGGCACACAGGTGGTTGGTGGCAGCGTTAGAATCAGGGGCTTCAGAAACCCTGCCATGTGTTTGGTTGTCTATAGCAATAGCCCCTCTTCTGGTTCTGGGACTAATGAGAGCCTTGAGACCTCCTTGGACATGAAGCAAGACGATGGTGGTTGTGTATCATGGAGTTGGTTCTGACTCATAGCGACCCTGTATAGGATTTCCAAGGCTATAAATCTTTACAGGAGCAGAAAATCTTACATAACCCACTATGCTACCAGAGCTCCTTGGGGATGGAGTGGGGATGCAGAAAGAGCCAGAATAAGACTGAGAGTAAGCAGAGGGTTAAGCCATTTATCTCGTGCTTGGGAGGTGGGAGGTCAGAAGAGTTGGCTGGGAACATCCACAGGGCGAGGACAGATCCACACTGCGTGGTGTCCAAGGGATGCCATCTAATCCTGGCAACAACAAGAAGGCATCATGGGCCTCACTTTTGTGATAGGAGAGATGACAGGAAGAGGAACAAGAGACAGATGGAACCAGGACAGGGCTGGATGGCCGCCCCCAAAGCCCCAGTTCTTTCCCTGAGAAGCAAGGGGGAGGAGAGGGGCCTAAAAGGGATCGCCCACTGGTGTTGAGGCAGCCCTCCCTGGAAGCGGCCCAAGGCAAAGGGGGATTGGCTCACTCACCCTGATCGGCCATAGCAGTATGAAGGGGCAGCAGCTGGAGGACAAGGGGCAACAGGCAAAGTGCCATTGTCCCCAGCCTTGGCATCAGAGCTTGAAGGGCTGCAGACATGCCCTTCTCTCTTGCATCTGGTGAAATGAGCATAAACCAAGGAGCCCCAGAAATAAATGGGCCCCAGGAGTCCTTTGACCCCTGAGATACTGGGAACCTGGAGGATGGTCCAAATATAAGTCAGTCTGACAGCTCATATATGACGGGGGGGTGAGGAGTCTGTCCAAGGACAAAGGGCAGAGGGAGGGAAGTTCTAGGGCGGCAGCCGAAAGGCACGCAGGATGATTTATCACCTAACCAAGGCACAGGTGGGGAAGTGAGGACACCCCTCGAGAGGAGTGTGCGGTGGACTAATGGATGAGGTCAAGTCTGAGCAGAGAGAGGAGCGAGTCTATCTGCATCCCATCCAGCCCTGGAGAGGGGACCCTGCCCTTCATCCCTCTTCCCAAGGCCTCTCTACTGCCTCATGGGCCCCAACCAGGGGGCAGTCCCTGGGATGCCGGGGAGTTTTTACATCTTTGAGCCCAGAGCCGAGCACTGGGCCCAGCAATCATCTGGAGTGGTCTTGGGCCCACTTCAACATCAGCAGAGCTTGGTGCTCATTCCTGGTTCTCTGGGACTCTCACTCCACTGTAACCTGAGGTCTGGATGAGGCTGGTCTGCCGCTGAGACACCAGGCAGAAATGGGCCTGAGAAGGTGTCAAGCACCTCATGCTCAGATCCAACACCCAGCCTTGGGAGAAATGTTTCATGGAGCACTTTCTAGAGGCCCAGGCCACCAGTCAAGTCCCTGCAGGGGGAAGAGAAGGAAAGCATTAGTCCTAAGCTCAGTACTTCAAGGTTGCTCTTTTATTTATGGGAAATTCCAGAGTGAAGAATCATCACAGAGCAAACAAGAATGCCTGGTAACTAAGCAGCGGTGGGGGTTAGGGCAGGAGGGTAACTCACAACCCCTAGCCACCTCCCCAGAAGACTCCAAGCAGAGATAGAGACAGTGAACAGCTCTGAGGGGGCTCCAATCCTGGTCTTGGCTCTTCAGCTTCCTCTTGACCCACTAGAGTGGGGGGTCTGGCAGTGGCCGTCTTGCCTTCCACAGCTGGATGAATTGTCATGCTCCCTGACCCACAGTGTTACCATCTCTGGCCAGTGACAGTGGAGCTGTGAGGTGGAACAAGGAAGGGACAAGACAAGGGTGAGGCCAGAGGGGCTCTGTGCAGTTGTTGGGTCTTGTCACTTCTAATGTTGCTACTGGAGTTGAGGGAGCCCCTCTCTGTGTGACCAGCCAAGTGGCTGAGTTCGTGCCCCTCTTCCCTTGGCAGCTCCCAGGTGAGGGTGCTGATGATTGTTGATGTGGTATCAAGTTGATTCTCATTCATAGGCTGTACATCTTTAGGCCTCATCTTTCTCCCACACAACAACCAGTAGATTCGAACTGCTGACCTTGTGGTTAGCAACCCAGCTTGTAATCCGCTGTGCTCCCAAGGTTCCTTTCCCTGGGTGGCAGAGGGTAGGGACAGATCCTAACCGAGGGTGAGCCCTGAGTCACCTCTGCGATAGTTTCCAAGTTCTCCAGGGAGGGTCGGAAGTGGCTGTAGGTAGATTCAAGACCACATCTGTCCTCCTTCAGCACCTTATCTGTAGGAAGGTAAGGCACTAGGGTGAGCAGGGCTGATGGGAAATGTTTTTCAGTAAAAGGGATGGCTTTAAAGAGCCAGTCCAGTATCCCCTAAACACTTTTCCTACTGTCGGGCCTTCTAACATGAAGGCTCATTTAGGGGCCTGACTGCTCGGAGCAGACCTGGAGAGCTGACCAGTGTGGCCCAGAGACAGAGGAAGCAACCGGAGGGGACTCAAACAGGTCAGAAGTCATGGCTTTAGTAGGCAGCTGGCTGCAGGCCTGGAACTGGGGGGCAGGAGGAAGGGCGGTGGTATGACCAGGGAGGGGTGCCTGGAGGCTCCCCAGCCCTTGGCCCCCACTGTCTCTGCCTCAGTCCTGACTGTGCTCAGTGCTGCCTTCATCCTCTTCCTTTCTCTATGCTCTAGCTCTGCCCCCATCTTGCTTCTGATACGAGGCACCATCCCAGATGCTGTTGTTCTGGAAACTTCCAGGGATGTCTTTTCCTTGTCATTCTCGAGACACAGCGTATGCTTGCCTGCTAACAGAAACATCCTGAGTCCTGCTAGCTGGTGTCAAGGAGGCAGAGGAGGGGCTCCACACTTGGGAGCAGACAGCAGGGCTCCCTCAAGGAAACCGCCCTTCACTCTCCATATGACCTTGGAACTTGCTTCTGCTTTCTCCATGTGCTGTGTGGTTCTTAGGGCATGTTTTGGTGGGGAACCTGAGTGCGTCTAGAAATAGGGGCTCGTTCCTCAAGCCTTGGGACATGGAAAAGCCAATCTGCCTGGAGTCTGCGCTCACACCTCCTTTCCACATCCCCCATCCCACCCCCACCCCTGCTCTCTGAACCTGCAATGCTGGCTGCTATGCCCAGACTACCAGATGCTCACCTGTGCTGTGTCCTCTGGGATCAGACCAGGAAGACAGTCAGAACAACCACTAGGACCACCAGCACTGCTACCACAGCCCCCACGCTCCCATCCACCAGGCTCTTGTTAGTCTTTCACTCACAGTTCTGTCTCCGGTGCCAGTGTGTCTTTGAGGTTGGGCACCTGGGTCACACACAAACTTAGGGTGAGCCATCCCTTCTCACACCTCATTGCTCCAAAGAAAAATGAAATGTCCAAGGGATAGGAGATCAGCTTTCCCTCCGAGAGAAGGACTAGATGCCTGGCTAGCTAGGGTCTCTGAGTCCGTCAGGCTAACAGATGGTGGGAGAGGAGGGGCAGCAGGTTGGAGAGGGTTACAACACAGAACTTGGAATAACTGGAGCTCAGAGGGATCGGAGAGTCCTGGGTGCTTTGTCTGAGAAACACAATACTTTGCTGATTTCATCTCTAAGAAGGTGGCATCTCAGTAGGTTTGTTGTGCTGTTTCATATCTTGTTCTTTATTTTATGGTCTCTTGAACTTAGAGCTTTTTATAGATAATGACACTGTGGCTGATGTGACGTAAAAAAAGCTGATGACTTATATATTGTTGTGCCATTGAGTTGATTCTGATCCCTAGTAACGCCATGTGACCAAGTAGAGTTTCCTAGGCTGTAATCTTTACTGGTGTTGCACTGTTAGATTAGCTAACTAAAACTAACTGCTAACTGAGAGGTCATTCTCCCACGGAGCAACTGCCTGGGTTCAGACTGCCAACCTTCCAGTTAGCGGCTGCACCGCCAGTGTTCCGTGATGATACAGGTATAAAAATAGAAACCGATAGAGATAGTGATACAGACAGATGTTGTTGTCAAATGCCATTGAGTCGTAAAGACCCTATATATCTTTACAGGTCAGCTGGCAGGATGGAACCACTGACCCTGTGTTTCACAGTCCAATGCTTATTGTATGGAACCACCGAGCTCCCCACAGATACACATACAGATTGATGGTGGTGGTATTGTGCCGTGGAGTCGGTTCTGACTCATAATGAGCCCGCCATAGGATTTCTGAGGCTGTAGTCTGACTCATAACCACTACGCTATCACAGCTCCTTACAGATAGAGATTAGGAAATGGGTAACTACAAATCTCTCAGGAAGCGGTTGAGCAATTCTAAGATGTTCATGTCTAGGAATCTGTGTTTATCGCTCATTAAAGGAGTCAAGCATGGGAGACAGGGGGGATGAGGACACCCAGACCTGCAGAGGGAGAGGAATAGGGGAGGGGATACCTTCCAAGTTCTGCGCCCCCCATGCCCTTCCTTCAAGAGAAGCTCAGACAGGCAGGTTCTCACAGGCAAGGGAGGCCACTGTGCTGCACCTGGCAGACTCCCTGGTGACAGTTCAGTTGTGTCTTTGTCCCTGGACTGCACTTGGTCACACATAGCAACTTCTTGTCCAACTCATCCACATAGTAGAACTGGGCAAAGTCCTTTGCGGCATTCCTCTCGCACTGTTCTAGGGGTGAGAAGCAGGAAGCAGACAGCAGCCTCGTTGATTCACCACTGACCCCCACACCTTATTGATCACATTCTAAGCCTGTCCCTCCACCCCACCTATATGCTGTTTACTCTGGGGGGGGGGGTCAAAGTTTAGCTTTGCAGTCTCAGTCACAGCCATGGTATCTTCACTGTAGCACACAACTGAGATGCCTGCCAAGGGGAGGTGGGAAAGAACAAAATAGGGGTGCTCCCCTCTGTCTCCCTGGATGTAGCCAGACCTCCCCTTCCCTCTAAACCACACTCTTCACCAGGGACCCATCCCAGACATGCATCAAGATATCAGTGTGGGTGACAACATCAGTCTGGGGCTGGGAGGTGTGAGAAAGACACCATGGGCCTACCTTCTGGGTTCCCATACTCCAGAGAGGTCTATGGAGTTCCAAAACAAGGTGTGTAGGGCAGAGAGACTGAGACCTCCCCGAAGGCCCCTCTTGAACATTCCCCACCACCATTAAGGGTTCTGTAGCTAGCCTACTTTGACACTTCTCAGGATCTTCTAACAACTCTTTGGTTTTATTAACAATCTTGGCCTTTACAGTCTTAATGAGGTCTTTAAATACGTTCTGAAAATCTAAAGTGTAGTTGGTCTCGAGGATGGCATCGTGTTCCACCATGACACTGCCATTGCTGAAACCAGAATGTGACTCACCGGTTATGCCATGTTACCCACCTCCCAGCAAGTGGGACCAGAGGAGGAAGAGGAGTGGTGAACCAGAAGCAGAAAAGAACAGAGCCCCTTCCCTCCAGCAGCTAACAACCTAGAGGGCAGCAGCCAAGCAAACAGACTGAAGATCTTGGAATGTCAATGATCATAATACAAGTCTGTGGGTGAAATTCATCGATTTAGAAAGGAAAGCTCTTTGATTGTGTGATAAAACTCAAATAAGCAAGCTCTTTAAAACGAAGAGGACTGAGATGACTAGAGACACAACTTCCAACCCAGAAGCTTATTAGCTGATGTGACTGCCAAAGAAAAGACCTGAGGGCAAAGTCCTTGGTCACAGACATTTGCGAGAAAAATCTAGAGCAGGACTCAGAAGGATTGCCAGCAACACATCCCTGAGCAGGGGCAAGCGTGGAGTGGAAAGGAGTGAGCTAGTGATATCTCCACATGAAGAACTCCACCATGTCATGGTTTTGGACGGTGCTTCCTCCATTCTTCCTGAAACTATCTCTTCCCCAACCACTAGAACATACACCTTCCGGTTCCCTCCCTACTCCTTAGTCTGTTTCTGTCCACACTCCTTTGGGGACTGTCCCTGAAAAGCCGGTGTGGCCCATGATTTTTTCCCAGGACACCTCTTCTGTATAGCAGCCAAGATGATCTGTCAACGTATTAGCATTCGTGGTTTCAGCTGTCAATGTCTAAATAACTTCACATGAGTTGTCTTTCAACCATCTCTCCCCCTATGGCCTCCTTTCCTTCTTTCATTCAGCCAACTCTTCTGAACATCTTTGAACTTCTGGAATTAATCTTTTTCTCTCTTCCCTCTGCCATAACAGTCTCACTCTCCCTTCCTTGTTCCTGGATCATTCCTCCTTATCCACTAAGCCTCAACTTAGCTGTGACTTTTTCCAGAAAGATTCCCTCCACCCCACCAGTCTATATTAGTCACCTCTCCCATTGCACCTTGTACCTTACCGGACCTTAATGTGAACCAGACTATACATCTAATTGGCTAACTGTGCTCTACTACTCTAAGTTCCCAACACCTAACACAGGGCTGATATATGGTGGTTGTTGTTGTTAAGTGTCGTCAAGTTGATTCCAACCATAGCAACCCTGTATAGCGTTTCCAAGGAGCAGCTGGTGAGCTTGAACCACCGACCTTGTAGTTCAAAAACTTTGCAGTCTGACGCATAAGCCCACAGCGCCACACCAGGACTCCTGGCATATGGTTGGTTGGTTGGTTATGTGCCGTGGAGTCAGTTCTGACTCATAACGACCCTGTACAGGGTTTCCGAGGCTGTACATGTTTACGGGAGCAGAAAGCCTCATCTTTCTCCCGTGGAACAGCTGGTAGTTTCGAACTGCTGACCTTAAGGCTAGCAGCCCGATTCATAACCACTACACATATGGTAGGCTCTCAATAAATGTTTGTTGAAAACATTAATGGTGACTAAATTGTCTCAGGGACTCAGGGGTAGCCTCAGGGGCCTGGGATCCATCTGACACTGCCAGGCAGATATATATATATATACACATATTTTTAATGTTTTATTGTGAATTATGTGATAGTTTACATGGAAAAACATTAGTTTTACATTCATCCTATCCTATATCGTTTCATTGCCATCAATGAAACCAACCAAAGGGTATACCCTCAGGCAGATATTTTAACCATTCATTCTGGGAGGAGACAAGAGAGTAATGATAGGGAAAGGGGCTTCCCACAATCTAGACATCTGCCCTCCTACATGCTCACAGCAGTTTCCTCATAGTCACACCCCAATAAGCAAGAAGGGCCTTGTAAGTTTCATCCATCTGGAAGAAACAAGACAACTGAGCTCTTCACTCACACAGGTTTGGAGCCCATGGTGATCCTGTTCCCTGTCTTGGGGGGCAGTAGCCCCAGTGTATCTTCTATGGAAACTCATGTGTCAGTCCATAGAAAGAAAAACAGGAAAACACAGGGATGCCCTCTTTACTCAAGATTTTGGTGGGGGAGGAAAGGGCTAATGGATGAGCACCTCTCAAGATGACTATCTTTCAGGACTTGGAAAAACTGAGGGGACCTGAGCCAAAAAGCTCAGTTCATCCAGTCAGAATGAGGCCCTGCACCCCCTTCTCACATCTGACTTCCTCTCTGGAGAATCTGGGCTTTCTCTGCCTTACCGGATGCCTGAAGTTGTTGTTGTTGTTGTTGTTATGTGCCGTGGAGTCGGTTCCAACTCATAGCCACCCTGTACAGGGCTTCTGAGGCTGTAAATCTTTGCAGGAGCAGAAAGCCTCATCGTTCTCCCGTGGAACAGCTGGTAGTTTCGAACTGCCGACCTTGTGGTTCACAACAAAGCTCCTTTACCTGAAGAGTTCCATAAAATCCTGGTATGCCTTGGAGGATGAGTCTTCCAGGTCTTTTGGGAAATTCCTCTGAGTCATTTTCATGGTCACACCTACAGTGGCATTGATTTTTTCTGGGGTTTCTGTGGGAACAGGCCACATTTTGCATGAGAAAGCAACCTCTCAGTAATGTCTTCAGAAATTGGTTACTTCTCTGCCTGTTGGTCTCATGGAAACAGAGGAAGTGGGGAGGAGAGAGGTTGGAAATTCAAGAGGCAGGAGAGGAATGGCCCCTTGTCTCTGAATAACATGAGGAGTTAGTGTCCAGGGTTAAGACCCAATGAGAGCTCAATTGAAGGCTCCGGAAAGTGTTGGGGTAGAAATGTCCTGAGGAGACGGACAGGTAAACTAGCACAAAGGGCCCCAATGGGGGACTCAGAAGGGTCAGTTCTAACCACAGTGTGACCTGGGACAAAAGTCACATTATCTCCTCTCCCTGCAAAAATGAAGGTGTAGTAGTGGTTAGGAGGTCTGGTGTGACACTGTAGTTTAAACAGTGGACTGCTAACCACAAGGTCAACAGTTCAAACCCACCAGACACTCTGAAAACCCTACACAAGGTTGCTATGAGTCAGAACCAACTAGAGGGCACTTACCAACAACAAGCAGTAGGTGGTCCCCTGCAGGACTGCCACCCTATTTTAGGTGGTTAAGGAGCCCGGGGAAGATCTGCAGGTCTCAACAAAGGTCATTACCTATGGTGATGAAGTCCAAGAGGGACTGGCGCTGATGACCAAAGAAGCCTTGTGGACAGACGCATTGCTTTCCATCCCAGGTGGCCCCATTCTTGCAATATCCTATGGAAAGGCAGAATTCTCAAGGAAGCCAGAGACACAAGATCCCTGGCTCCCATTCCAGGTCCCAGTCAGCCATGGCATTGAAAGAGGGAGACGAAACCAGATAATCACTCATCTAGCTGAGACCCCTCTGTCTCTATCCCAATTCTAAACAGATAGTGAGAGGAAAAGGAGATAAGATCAAGAAAGGGAATGTGGAATGGGATAACAGAAAGTAAGGATGCAAAAGTTACAAGAGGACAAGCAAAGGAAAAAGAGCAAAAGGGACAACGTCCTTTTGGGTGAGGTGCACTGGACGCAGATTTGCTGTGGTATTAGGGGCATCAGAGAAATCCACTGAATTGGGAGAATTGGTAGTAGTTGTGAAGACATTAGAGCTCTCAGTGAAGGTTGTGTCAATGGTTGAAGGCAATAGTCTAGAACTTGATGGGGATGTAGGTTGGCTCCTAGGAGTGGTATCAGAGACTTCACTGGGACTCGATGGAGAAGAAGGACTTGCATTTGACATGCTGTAGGAAAAATCAGTAGCAAATGTTGCTGCGGGTCTTGCCTTGATAGTTGCATAGACAGTGGATCCTTGAATAGAAGATGTGGTTGTTTTCCCATAACCACTAGAAGTGGTAAAGAAGTCACCGAGACTTGATGTAGAAGACAATCTCTCCTCCCTGGTAATGGTGGTATCCAAGATCACTGTAGATGATAAATCAGGCATCCCAGAATTCCTCATGCCTGTGGCATGAGAGTTATCAAGAGAAACTGTTGATTTCAACACATCAGACAAAGTTTCGCTGGAATAAGTTTTGCTGGAGAAGTTGTGACTGTTTGTGCAGAGACCACAATGGCAGTAGAGAATTCACTAGAATGTAAAGGGGAGGTAGGATACAAACAGATACCTCTCCAGGACTTGAAGAGGCTGAAAACCTCCCAATGCCAGTGGTTGATTCAGCACCTGATGATTCAGATATACCAGACACAGTGGGAAACTGAGTTGGTTGCTCTGTGAAAGTTGTGGTTGTTTGTTCAGAAACCACTGAGGTGACAGAGACTTCATCAGGACTTGATGGGGAAGCAGGAGCTGTCATTTCTGTGCCATAGGAAGAGTCAGTAGCAAAGAGTGGTGTGGAAAAATCTTTTATGGATGTGTAGAAGTGAATTTTCCAGGAAGTGATGTAGTCATTTCTGCATAAGGACCAGAAGGGCGCAAAGATTCACTGGGACTTGATGTGAATGTAGAACTTTCATCATTCTTAGCAGAGAAGGTCCTAGAGGAACCCGTAGGTGTGAAAGAATCAGAGATGATGGTATGATGTGTGGATGTAGTGGCTGTCTGTCCTGAGACAGCTGGACTAGCAGATGATTCCTCAGAACTTGAAGGTGCTGTTGAACTCCCCATTTCTGTGGTATGGAAAGGAGAAAAAGAAATGGTTGATTCACACACATCAGAAATGGTGGTATAGACAGTTGGAGCCTCTGTGAGATTTGTGTCTGTTTTTTTTTCAGAATTCCAAGTGTAGTAGAAACTTCAATGAAGAAAACGAACTTACGTTTTCTGTGTTGTGGTTAGACTCAGGAGACAAGGTTTGCGAGGGACCCTCTGCTGTGGTTCTATAGAAAGAGAATTCTACTGGGAAAGATGTTCTTTCTCCATAATCACTGGAAGTAATAAAGGTTTCACCAGGCACTGATATAGCAAGGCTAGCAGATACTTCTCCAGGGCTTGAAGAAGGTGAAGCACTCCAAGTGTCAGTGGTTGATTCAGCACCTGATGATTCAGACATATCAGACACAGCAGGAAACTGAGTGGCTTGCTCTGTGAGAGTTGTGGTGGTTTGTTCAGACACCACTGAGGTGAAAGAGACTTCACTGGGGCTCAAAGGGGAAGCAGAACTTGCGGTTTCTGTGCTATAAGGAGAGTCAGTAGCAAATTTTGGCGTGGAAATGACTCTGGTGGTTGAGTGAAAAGTGATTCTTTGAGGAAGTGATGTAGTCATTTTCCCATAAGGAGCAGAAGTGGCAAATGATCCAGCAGGACTCGATGTGGATACAGGAATTCCATTCTCCTTGGTAGATGAGGTGCTGGATGAATCTGTGCATTCAGCAGAATCAGAGATGGTGCTGTGATCTGTGGATTTCATGATGTATGTAGTGTCCATAGGTCTTGAGTCAGATGAGCGGGTGGATGCTTCTCCAGGACTTGAAAGGGCTGCGGAACTCCCAATGTCTGCAGTACGGGAGATGTCAGAAGAAACTGTTGAGTGAGAGATTTGAATAAAGGTAGTGAATAAGGTTGGATCCTCTGTGAGATCTGTGGCAGGTTGTTCAGAATCCCGACCAGTAGTAGAGTCATTCATGGGATTTGAGGGACATAAGGAACGTATACCTTCTGTGCTGTGGGTAGACTTAGCAGACAAGGCTGGTGAGGGACCCTCTGATGTGGTTATGTAGGAAGTGGGTCCTTCTGAGAAAGATGTGGTTCTTTCTCCATAATCGCTGGAAGTAGTAGAAGATTCACCAAGACTTGAAGCAGGAGGACTGGTAGATTCCTCTTGAGAGTATAAAAAGGCAGAAGAACTCCCATTGCAAGTGGTATGGGAGGTGTCCAAAGGAACTGTTGACTCAGACTTATCAGCCACAGTAGTAAACCGAGTTGGTTGCTCTGAGAGCGTTGTGGTTGTTTGTTCAGAAACCACCGAGGTGTTAGAGACTTTACTGGGGCTCGTTGGGGAAGCAGGAATTGTAGTTTCTGTGCTATAAGAAGAGTCCGTAGCAAATTCTGGTGTGGAAACATCTTTCATGGTGGTGTAGAAAGTAAATGTTTGAGGAAGTGATGTAGTCATTTCTCCATAAGGACCACACGTGGTCAGAGATTCACTGGGACTTGATGAGGATGGAGGACTTTCATCATTCTTAGTCGAGAAGGTTCTAGATGAACCTGTAGGTATAAAAGAATCAGAGGCGGTGACATGCTGTGTGGTCTTTTTAGTGAACATAGTGGCTGTCTGTTTTGAGACTGTTGGCCTAACAGTTGATTCTTCAGAACTTGAAGGTTGATTTGTTGATTCCAACATATCAGCAATGGTGGTGTTGACGGTTGGAGCACGTGAGGGATTTGTAGCCCTTTGTTCAGAATCCCAAGTGGTAGTTGAAACTTCACTGGGACTTGATGTAGAAAAAGGACTTGCGTTTTCTGTGTTGTGCTTAGACTCAGGAGACAAGGTCGGTGAGGAACCTTCTGCTGTGGTTGTGTGTAAAGTGGATTCTTCTGGGAATGATGCGGGTTTTTTCTCCATAATCATTGGAGGTGATAAAGGCTTCACTAGGACCTATGACAGTAGTGCTGGTAGATGCTTCTTCAGGCTTAGAAAAGGCTGAGGCGCCCCGAATGCCAGTTGTGTAGGCTATGTCAGGGGAAACGGGTGGTTCAGACATGCCAGCCTCAGTAGGAAAGTGTGTTCTTTGCTCTGTGAGAGTTGTTACTGCTTGTTCAGAAACCACTGAGGTGGTAGAGACCCCACTGAGGCTCACTGGGGACACAGAACTTACCATTTCTGCGCCATAAGAAGAGTTTGTAACAAATGCTGGCATGGAAATGTCTTTGGTGATTGTGTAAAAAGTGAATTCTGGAGAAACAGATGTAGAGATTTTTCCATAGGGACTGGAAGTAGTAAAGGATTCACCAGAACTTGATGTAGATTCAGGAGTTTCCTTGTCCTTTATAGAGGAGAGTCTCAATAAATCTGTGGGTTCAGAAGAATCAGAGATGGTGTTGTGATCTCCAAATTCATTGGGAAATGTAATGTCAGAAGAATCTGTTCAGAGAAATAAGAAATGATGCTTTAGGCCGTTGATTTCCTTCCTGTCTTCTTTACGCATATACATTTATATGCAGCCCAGCCACTACATCCGCCTAACTGTCCTGTGGGCCACGTAACCTGCCAATGTGTGCTGCTCCTCTACCTCGCATCCCACAGCCCTCCCTGGGCTTTCGTTTTCTAGTAGTCACAGTGATTCTGGGACTATCGTGCTTTTTCTATTTTTAATTCTCTACAGATTGGAAGATGTGACTATGCTGGTTGGACTCCATATTTCTATCTGCAAAATAGAACTGTGTTTTCTTGACCTTTGAGGGTGTCTCACCTCTGAGGAGCCGCACATCCATAGCTTCTATGACTTTGGGCATTTTCAAAATAGCCTCGTCTCTGCTCTGCAGCCACTAGTGTATGCTTTTGTTCAACAATGGAATAATTCCTGACTTCTCGTCACTCTTCTTATGAGGTGAAGAAGATCATATATAGAACAAACCTCTGGTAATGCCATAAACCTAGGGATAAGTAGGGGGTTCTAAAGGATAGAGCATAACAGAATTCTTTGAGAAAGCAAGTCCTGGGGCTTCTTGTCCAAAGCACTCTTGAGGCCTCCTGTCAGTCCTTACCCACCCCCAAAATGCTTGAAAATACAGGTCTTATCATCTCTCAGGAAGGCCAACCTTGTCCAGTGGCAGAGGGGACCAGGGAGGCCATCAGGGCAGAGAAAGCCTCCACCATCCCAGATGCTCTCATTCTCATAGGGCCCTGAAAGAGACAGAACAGCCACAGGGGGAGGCCAGGGCAGGGCAGGGCAGGGCTGTGAACAGTTAGTCAAGAGCTAGTCCAGTCCATAGTTCTGAATCTCTGACATTGCAAACTCTAATCAGAACATTAGGTGGGCAGCAGTATCAAATAGTGATGAATGTAGTTCAGGTCAACGATGCAATAATGCCTACAATTTTGGAAGTTAATGGGAAGATTTAAAAATATTTCAAAGATTGTTTAAGTCTGTAGATAACATTGGTTTGGCCTAATCCTCTTTTCTACAAGCTAGGTTTCATCTAATTGAGCCTGGTGGAAGTGAAGGGCTAGACTCAGGAAGCTGTGAAGGGTGGAAGTGGGCATCCCCAGAGATTTGGGGTTGAGGAGGGTCAGAGAGAGAACACAAAAGGGTTCTGGCCCACCCAAAATACAGGGTGACAGGACTCACAGAAAACCCATGTCCAACTGTAAAACCTCAGCCTCCTTTCCTTTCTCAAGGGGCACTCTCTCCTCCTGACCTCTACTTCTCCTTGGAAGCCCCACAATTCCTAGCTTCTAAGACTTTGGGTACTTTCAAAAAAGCTACTTCTTAGCTCTGAAGGCATCTGTTCATGCTTTCATTCAACAAGCAATTTCTGTGAACACTTCGTGACTGCTGGGTCCATGCCAACCAAAACACAACAACAACAACACCAGTCCTCACCCTCTGCTGGGCCTCTGAGACTACCCTTCCCCACCCCAATGCAGTAAGGGCTAGTAGAGAGCTCTGGGGCGGTAGTACAGGAAATAGACCCTCTCTTTCTTTGGAAATGGGCCTTAAGGAGGAGGTAATGCTTAAACTGTCTTTTTCTTCCTTAAAAAGAATTCATTTTGGAAGTGGGAGGGGAACTTACGCATTATAAATTTTATTGGACTTTTAAGTTATAAAAGTGAATGTGTTTATTGTGACAAATCAAACAATGAAAAGGCATACAAAGCTAATTTATTTATCTCCCAACTGGATCATGAAGAATGAATAGGGTGGGGAGAGGCAGCATGGACTGGCTGCCTATCAAATTCTCACATGCGCCCCATCATTAAAAAAAAAAGAAGGAAAAACCAAAACAAAACAAAAAAACCCTCACCACTGCTTACAAGTCAGTTCTGACTCAGAGTTTCTAAGACTATAAATCTTAACAGGAACAAACAGTTTAATCTTTCTCCCAAAGAGTGCCCAGTGTGTTTGAACCACCAACCTTGTAGTTTGTTGTCCAGTGTTTATCCTGGGGATCCTTTTGCCCCATCATTTGTTGTTGTTAAGTGCCATCAAATCAGTTCCATATCATAGCAACCCTGAATAGGGTCTTCAGTGGGTTTGAACCACTGGTCTTGTGGTTAGTTATCCAGTGCTGATCTATAACCCCACACCAGCACCCCTTACCCCATCAAAAACCTGTTAAATTCCAACTCAATGATAATTTTTGTAATTGCCTGGGAAATGTAACACCATACAACGTTAAAGCAACCCTTCCTTCCTCTACGCTGAAAGCTTCCTGAGACAAGAGACCAATTCCCTGTCCAACCTGACGCACAGTAAATGTTTCTGAAGTCGATGAGTGAATGAATACTGGGAACTTCACTAGATACTTTCTGTTAGTTATTTCATTTCATCATCACAACAACTCCGTGAAATTGATATTCATATTTGTCTTACACAGGAATTGAGGTGCAAGGGTAAGCATTCTCCAATGTCACGCAGCTAGTAAGATAGAATTCAAACACAATCTGAAGCCAGCTTTTATTCTGACATTCTCCAATGTCACCCAGCCGTAGATAGAATTCAAACAGAATCTGAAGCCAGCTTCTACTTGTAGCAAAAAGAAAAGGTTGATGGCATAGAGAAAAGCAGCCCAGGAGAGGGACTGTAAGAGTGCGTTTGGAGTAACTACAGGTTTAGGGTGAGGTAGTACTAAGGGCAATGGCGGAAGAGGGGAGCCAGTAGGCTGGGTGTGAACCAAGTCTAAGGAAGAGATTTAGATCTGACCTGAGCAGAAGTAAAGAATGTTCAGAAAAAGACCTTGATCCAAATTGTGTTGAAGAAAGCATGCCCTGAAGACCATGTGAAAGGTCAGAGAGGACCAACAGTAGGTAGGGAGATGGGTAAAAAAGTCTGCAGAAACATGGTGAGCCATGAGGGAACCCAATGAAAGCCTTGTTGGAATGAAGCAGGGAGCTCTGGACATACCTTTTCTCAATGTATTCATTGTGTTGCTACTCAGTCTGTCCACCACCACCCACTTCTACTACAATTGCCCTCTTGTGTCACCACTTGTAGAAATCCCTAACTATCTCACCACCTACCCTTCCTCCTTTTTGAGTCTCTCATCTCCTTCAGTTCCCTAAACACCACCACCTCCTGATTTTCCTCCTCCGTGATCCCTGCTGCTGGCTCCTAATCACTGTCTACATGGTAACCTCATGCTGAGGGCTTTGACTTTGTCATACACCCCACTTTTTGGGGAGACAAACTCCTCCATGCCCAAGGTTTTCACTGGGTCCTGTGAGGAACTAGTGCACAGTATCCTGAATAGTGATGTGCTCTGGGTGAGGAGACTCAAGCTTCTCCTAGCCTGGGTTTCTGGTGACAACAGGGTTCCCAAGTCATGTGGCAGAGCAGGTGGAGTTGACCATCCCAAGATCAACTTCCAAGGGGAAAGGAAAAGCACAGGTATGCTCCAAAGAAATGCAAATGGTAATGAGCCCATGAAAAGAAGAAAGGAAATAAACTTCACCAAGAAGCAAAAAAATTCAGCACAAAACAACATACTATTTATTTTTACCTATCAAATTGCTCCCAAGATGGTGCTAGATGATAATAATAGTGCCTAGGTTTGGTTGTGGTTGTTAAATGCCAAGGAGCAAGTGGTGGGTTTGAACTGCTGACCTTGGGTTCACATTCCATTGCTGATTCTTCAGCGTCACACCAGGAGTTGGAAGGGTGTGGGAAAACATTTGTTCTCAGATAGTGCTGATGAATGTTAACTTGGTCTCTCATTGCTACAGAATAATTTGAAAATGTGAATTGAGATCCATAAAGAGTTATACCCTTTTAATTAAACCATTTCTAATTACTACTCCAAAAAAGTAACTCGCTACAGATAAAAAATATATATACAAGAATGTTTATCACATCATTATTTAGTATAGTGAAAAACTGGAGTTAACAAGTCCCAAAATGAGACCCCAATTAGTGGTATTCCATCCATACAATGGGATAGTAATCAACCACTAAAACATAAACTGCCCACAAAATACATCTAAATACATACAGTGATGTTGTTGTGTTGTCGAGTTGATTTCCAACTCAAAGCAACTCCATATAGGGTTTCCTAGAGAGCAGCAGATGGCTTTGAACTGCCAATCATTCAGTTACCTTATGAATTACCCTTCCTGCAGAGCCAAACAAGGGCTCAAATACATGCATAGAAATAGATAAAAATGTGTATTTCTAAGTACATACATTGTTGTTGTTGCTAAGTGCCCTCGAGTTGATTCCGACTCATAGCAATCCTGTCCAGGGTTCCTAAGGAGCAGCTGATGGGTTTGAACTATTGACCTTGTGGTTCAAAGTCTAGTGTTGATCCTACAGCACCACACCAGGAGTCCAAAGTACATATATAGAAATAGATAAAAAATGTTAACAATGTTTGTCTGAGATAAAGTGGAATTTTCTTCCTTCTGTTTGTTTATATTTTCTAAATGTCAACAAATCTGCTATAATTTTTTAAATACAAGAGTCCATCAACAAATGAATGGATAGACAAATACGATAGAATCATACTCAGTCATAAAGAGAAATGAAGTTCTGACACATGCTAGGACATGGGTGATCCGTGTGCTGAATGCAAGAAGTCAGGCACAAAAGGACAAATACTCCAGGATCATGAAGTATCTAGATTATGCAAATGAGAGAGACAAAGGTGGATTAATGATCACAAGGGGCTGGCAAGAAGGAGAAAGTAGGGACTTATTGTTAAGGAAAGAGATTTCGGTGGGGGATGAGGGGAATCCTTTGGAAATGGAGTAATGATGGTTACATAGCACGATGAATAAAATGAACACTATTGAATTGTGCACTTAAAACGGTTACGATGTACAGTCCAGAAACAGAAGACCCTAGGACCATCAAGGGAGAAGAGCACGAGTGGAATGTGGGACCCTATCCAGAGAAGCAGCGGCACCAGAGATGGAGGCAGAGATAGGGACGTGGAGAGATAGAGCAGTTGCGGACTCTAGACTCGTGGAAAGAGAGGGACTGAGTGCTGGCAGCCAGGAGGCAGGCTTGCAGAATGTGCCTTTTGGTGGTGTGAATTATTATATATGCCTGAGTGGTTTTTGTTTTTGTTTTTTTAAAGAGAGAGCTAAAACAAATAGAGAGAAATACTGTTAACTGATGGTACATGAAGGGGATTATAATCATTGTAATGAAACAAAGTATATGATTTGTTGAATGTAAAACTAATGATCTGCCCTGTAAATAATTCACAATAAAAACTTAAAAAAAAGGTTACGATGACAAGTGTTTTGTTATATATATTTTATCACGAAATAG